CCGGGGGCCGAATCGAGCTCTTTCCGTCTCGCCCCTCGTTCTGAACCACTTTGGGTATGAGACAGGTGTCGAACGACCAACATACCCTTTGGGTGTCCATATGATCACTATTGGAAACAATAAGGGCCGGTGCCTTAGGATGGAGCAAGCTGCAGAAGCGTCTTCAGAGAAAGGCTAGCATAGAGTGAATTGAAGAAGCGTGCAAGGCAGCACGGGCCGGGCCCCGTGGCTGGACCGCGTTCCGCTATATGTTTGGGCTGGGAGAGAGGTGCGATGAAGTAGACGAGTCATTGTCACAGAAACTTGCGAAACCCAATTGCGAAACCCCTTGGCATCATGGGCATTCTTTGTACATAGGGTACTCGAGTAGCATCGGCACATACTGCAGGTCGTCTTCAAAAGCTCCGAGATCGATTAGACGGAGCCCTGGCGATGATCAGAATGGTGGTCTCAGTGCAGGGCTTGTAGGTGTCCGAATTGGGCCGTCGATCATCGAAGGAGAGGCTTCTTTCCAAAGGTTGCCTCAAAGGTCAGCTTCCGCTGCATAGCAAGCAGGTTTGCGTAGGTTGGTCCTGCAGGTACCTCGATACGATGCGCGCCTCATCCACCTGGCGTGTAGGGTGGTGGACTGACCACTACCAATACTTCACCGAGCACCGAGCGTCAAGCAAAGCTGGTTCCAGCGGAAAGAGTCTCCAATGTGAAGGAAGACAGAAAATCCATATGATCTCATCAAATGCGAGGTGACACGTCGATGGTGGGAATCCCCCGGCGCATGGCATCAGACTGCTGGCTAAAATAGGGTGGTTGAGACACTGCTCGGAGCATATCAGGGTGGGCCAGGAGCAATCAGAAGCCTTCCAGTGGCCTCGACAGGAAGGCTGCATGAGCCACGGCTTTGCGCCAGCCATCCCATACGACGATCGTCTGACCGGCTGTGGCGAGCCCTGGCACCCGAGCTCTAGTGACAGCTGTCTGACTGTGTGGTCGTCGTCCTGGAAAGGGAAGGCGTCCACTAAAGGAGCATGCTTGCCATCTGTGACACCCGACCCGGCCGAGTGGCCGAATGCATGATTGTCCCTCTCTGGTCTTTGGGGGTGAGGAGTCGGGCACTTTGTGCCGAATGGTAAGGCTTTTGTCCCAAGTGTGTCGATTCCGTCGTCATGATGGCTGGGCGACGCGCTGTGCGAAGTGGCCGACGCCGAGGATGGTTGGGGGTCTGGCTCGTTGTCGCAGATCGGCGGCCAACCTTTCAGGTGCACCAAATGACACGCCACCCGTCTTGCGACCGCTCGGCATACTTGTCAGAGGACGCGCCTGACCCAGCGACCAGGAACAAAATACTCCGAACCGATGCATGGCGGACGGAAGCCGGGGCGCCGTGGTGCCATGTTGTAAGAGGGTGGAGGGTGAGAGGCATGTGTCTTGGTGGGGAGAGCTGTGGCGGGCTGCACGGCTTGCAAAGCGTTGTGAGAGCAGCTTGGTCGCAAGGTGGACAGGTCTCGTCCGACACAGTAACCATTCTGGCTGTCGAAGGCGAGTGCCTGGGACCGATGCGGACAAGATGGGCGAATAAGCTTTGACGCCATGGACCATGGTCGCGGTAGATGACAGAAGGGCTGTGAGACACCAACAGGGAATGCCATGGCCATGGTGTGGGAAGCGAGCGCGATCCTCGTCCCTGATGTGTGTGTCAGATTCGGGGAGAGCGGTTTGCCAGCACACAGACGGCAAGGCTGTCACCGAAGCAGAACATGGTGTCGAGTACGCGTGGAGGAAAGGTGCCGAAGAGAAGGAGAGAGTTGGTGATGTGTTGCTTCTGGTGGTGTCCTTTGGGTCGTTTGGCGATAAGGGCATCAACGAGGCAGGGCAGGTGCCATCGGACGGCCCTGGCTCCCAACCCGTCTCATTCAGTCGATGAGATGAAGCCGGGCGGGAAGGCAAGACCGCGTCGGGGATCGCGGCGCGGGACCTCACTGATCGGATGGCTGGGGAACAGGGGAGGTCAGGGCCCTGTAAGGTCCTTGGGCCTGTAAAACCACGATGGAGGGTCGCTGGGTGTGCTGACAGGGAGCGCTCGAGGCGCTAAAAACGCTACCGTGGTTCTCTCAGCCAGGCACTGTGAATTTTGCAGTGTAGATGAACCTCTCTGGGGATCTGGTGAGATGCGCGTACGGGCG